CCTGCTGAAGGCAACTTGAATTCATTTCTTAGAAAATTAACTGAATCTTAGCAGCTAAAATCTTTTTAAATGTATGGAATAAAGAAAAGCACATCCATTCTTGACATTTTGGTGAATAAACTGACAGCTTTATTAATGAAGGCAAACATCAGATAACTGTATGAATATTATATATAAAAAAAAAAGAAACCCAAACTAAAAGCACTGTATTTCAAAAGTACTGTACTTCTGTTTCTGTTAAAGAGATTTGTGTCATCTGTTTTATAAAACAAACAAAACGGGAAAGAATTCTTCTCCTAAAAAATTCTGGAAAAATGAAATAGTCATTTTCAAGCTGAGGAACTGAATACACCATTCTTTAAGTGCAGACTACTGCTAAGAAGCAAATAAAGTCAAGCATCAGAAAGAAGATGTATGAAAAATTCATGAAAGTCAGAGAAAAAGGATGTAGTGAAATTACTGCTATTCTTCCCCCTTATGTTCAAAGACCATTCAAAAGTGGTCTCTCATACGAATATAAAATAACTATAAAGAGAGGGAGTCGAAAGCCAGACCATCTGAAACCCTTCATGATGCTTCTGTAATAGCTCTGATTCTCTTACCAAAAAGGTCAAAGTTAAAGACTTAGGAAGTGGAAGGGGATGAAGACGTTTAGTTTTAAATGTACAAGTAAGGCACAATATAAAGCCACATCATAATCTGTCATGAAGGATATAGGGAAGGACAAGAATCATACATGGTACAGTAGAACGAGCAATCATATTGACTGAAAGAAGTGTGGCACCCAATTGAAAACTCAGACAAGATCTTCACAAGAGCAACTGGGCAGCATGCTTTCATATGGAGATACTCTGAAGAATCCAGTGTATCTGAAACTAGGAAGAAACTTCTGGGTTTCTGTTGTTTGTTTTTAAATCTAGTTGTACTAGAGTCAAAGTTTCTAATTGCTTTCGAAACAATGGGTTTGGTTTATCTGAGGTGAATTCACAACGCCTTCACTTAAAGTAAGATTCTGGATCTCACTGTGAGCTGTCTGTATACCATGTATGACCACAGAAAACCTTTAGAGAGCTCTTCTCTAATGATCTTCACCCAAAAAATATATGCCACAATTTTCAAAAACAGAACATGTACAATTGTTGGGGTTTTTACATTACCCTTATAAGATCGGTTTGTGTGATACACTAAACGTATATATTTTAATGACAATAGAGGAAGCAGATTATTACTGGCATTAAAATACAACCATTTCTAGACGGTTTTAAATGCCACAGAGTCCCCTGGTTAAAATGTAAAGCTGCACAGCTTGCCTATGTCATCTTTATGATAAAGTTAAAACAGCAAGAGGATTTAACTTCCACTCTACATTTTACTGCCAGGTTTTTATTTAGATCAAGTATCGCTGCAGCATTCTGACCAGCCCAGATTTAGCAGCAAATGGCAGGAATCATATAAAATGCAATTTTTTTTTAAACAAAGTGCTTTTCTAAGATATACTTACATATATAAATAGGTACAAAATAAAGTGTCAACATTAAAAAGCTCAACTATTTAAAAGCTTTTAACAATTTAACTTAAGTAGTACATATAAAACACTGAAATGCAAGGATATGGAATCTACTAAACAGATCCAAAGTCTTTTTCTGAAATGCAAGACCAAAAAATCCAATTCTGGTTTGCAGACAGGAAAAAAGTATCAAAAACCAGAATTCCTAACAGAGCAGCTAGAAAGGGGCAATTTTATAAACCTCATCAGCTGAATCTCTTATCATGAAGCGATTTTCACCTGATTGCAAAACTGCCATATTTTGGAACACTTCAATTTACCACATACACCCTGTCAAGTCTTCAACATACTTTCAAGAAACCTAAAAAGGAAAAATTTTAAATGATGAACTTACATTCTATTAAACCACTCAAGCTTATCATCCGTTCAGTGTGAATGCACTAACCAGGTATGTGTCCACCAAACACACAGGACAATCTGTGCCTCACAGCTCAGCTAAGGTATTAAGACGATCCTTCTCAGTCTCTTTTTCAGGATGTCAAAGATGCAGGCAAGCAACACTGTTCAGTTGTTTCTGTGTGTTCTAGAATCAAACCTTCATAAGCTATTGCCTCGTGTGCTATAGCTTACAAATGGTGAAAGGGTGAGAAGAAAGTAAAAGAAAGGGAAATACACCATATACACAAAGTATAATTAAAAAATAAATTCTACAAAGGGTAATGGAGAAATAGGTATTTTCCCAGCAGCTAAGTCTAAATTTTTTGGTATTTTTCTTGCTAAATACGTTCATTTTTTTTTTTTAAACGTAGTTTTTAAGCCACCAGTTTTCAGAGTTCAAAACACAAGATTTGAGAATAAAACAGAGACAGGATGGAAAGATCTGCAGGGAAAGTTTATAATGCTGCCTTGACATAAGAAATTTCTCATCAAGATGTAAAGCTTGAACACAGTTAAAACACTGACTAATGAAGCTGTTTTATGTGAGCAAAAAAGAGCACCTAAAAACTAAATGTGTCAATGTTTCTCAATTCTAGAAACTATAGAAGAATAAGTCACATGTAAGTTTGAAGAAGCTAGTTTGAAAATACCTGTACAAAAATATAAAAATCTATAAATTTTTTCGTTTTAAGATTGTGTTGATCTCTGAAAATATTACATGCACAATAATACATCAATTGGAAAAGTGGCAACTAAAGAATTAGATATTTTTAGCTTTTTTCTTTCTTTACATATATATATATACATAATACAATAAAAATAATCTGTATTTTGGTTTGGTGGAAGAATACTACAATAAGCTAAATAAACTTTTTAATTTTCAAAGTCAAAAACTATTTTATATAGCTTACTAAAATGAAATATATTAAAATTTTCTACAGTAAGTGCAGAAATAAAAGACTTACAGACATCTAATGGCCACCAACTTATCTACTATGGAAGCGAACTAGAGGAACAGCAAAATAACATTTGTATGTATGGATGCTCCTTCTGTAGATAATTGGACCCAAACAGAAATAAAATTCACAGTTCAGTAAGATCCCTAACCCTGACCTTTTAATTTTTTTCTTTTTTTCTCCTTTTTTACATACATTCATACAGTATCATGTAAGCTGTGCAAAACTTTACTTAGACTGGCAGTTTGCCATATCAGTTGCATTTGTCTTTGGTACAAAAAATAAAACAATCGCAATAATGTGCAAGTATTTATCTTCTTCCGGTCAAGTACCGAAATATGAGTTTTCTAGAGCCATCTTTTTTTTTGTTGTTTTTTGTTTTGTTTTTTATACAATACACAGACTCTGTGGCATATATCTACATTTCAACATAGTCCTATATACATTCAAAAAATCTGAAAAAGAGTTGGAACAAAAAGACATTTAAACCCCGTAATTTTTTCCATCTATAGATCTTGTTTTTCCTCATTAGGGTTTTCATCATACAAAATATTACCAGTTTTATATTTCCCCAAAATACAAGGCACAAAGAATATGCTTTTTTTCTTACTTGCACAGACATTTATATATATATATATGTCTATATATATATCTATATATATCATATTGAGCTCTGAAAACAAACATCTACTATGGCACATGGGCATGAGTGCTGAGTGTGCCATTGTACAAGTGAGATTAATGGTTGTGAAAAATTAGAACAAAACGCAATAATTTTAAAAACAATCTAAAGTGACTGTTTAAAAGATGCTTCCTCAATTTTTTTGTGTAGTTCAGAGCATAAACTTGCCATAACACTTGGCATTTTATTGATATCAGTACTCCTCCAAAATGTTTTGGCTTTAACAGATTTCTACAATCTGTACCTAAACATTTACTGAAACATATGAGTTTCCATTCTGATGTCAGTAGCAGTTTCGACCATGGTTTATGCTCTGAAAATGCAATAATCAAGTATTTTGGATCATGCTTCACTTATGCTACTTAGTTCTTAAAACAACATAACCTAATTGTAAATGTTTACATAATGCTAACTGACATGCAAAACAGAATGAAAATTTACAATGGATAATGTGACAAAAATGGACATTTCTGACCAGTGGTCCAATGAGGCTGGTTATACTTTCGATGTTGGTATCCTTAGTCCTACAAGGCCTCCAGTGGGATTGCCTTCTGCAGTCTTCTCTAACACTTGGTTAACAAATTCTGAAGTTTGCCCAGCAACAGGGAGACCTGAAGAGAAGAATGAAAGGCACACTTAGACAAAGAAATGGAGAGGGCATGAAGGAATGTAAAGAAAGAGGAATCACCTGAGGTCAAATTTGGCCTTCGGCTTGATAATGCCACCAAATGAACACTCTTTTTGCAACTGCAGCTCATAAAATAATTCTGCATCAGAAGGGAGTCTATAATTTTAAGATTAGAAGACTCAAACCAAGAGTAACCTTTTGGGGTTAGTGAATGGTAAGTGGTTAAGGTGGCTGGATCCCACATGGCTAACCGCACAGTTTGAGTCCTGGACCTGGTGGCTTGAAAAGTATGCCAAGTGTGTGTGTGCACATGCCCAGAATCCCAAGAAGAGAATGGAGGAGAAGGGATTACAATGTGGCATTCCACCTGGGTGATTTCTCACTTTCCCTCTCTCCCTCTGTCTCTGTCTGTCTCTCTCTCTGGAGAGTGCACGAACTCTCAAAGCAAATTAAAAACAAAACAAAACAAAACACAGTTGGGCTGGCCTAGTGGTTAAGGGAGGCAGATTCTCATGCCTTAAATTTTGGCCCTGGTGGCTTGAAAAACACTGGGCACGTGTGCATACATGCCCCAAATCCCAACAGGGTGGAGACGTGGAGAAGGGATTGTGGCATGACCACATCCCACTGTGGAATGATTTCTCCCTCTCCCCTTTTCTCTTTCTTTTTCTGGCAAGTGTATGTGTCTTCTGGCAAATGAAAAGGAAGAAAGAAAAGCTAAAGAAAGGAAGAAAGAGAGGGAACCAGCAGTTAGCGTAATGGCTATGTTGCTGGACTCCCACGTAGTCGACCGCGGTTCATGTCCCAGACCCGGTGGCTTAAAACTCACGCCAGGCGTGTGTGCGTGCATGCCCAAGATCCCGAGAGGAGAATGGAGGAGAAGGGATTGCGGCGTGACCATCCCCCCTGGGGGGTGATTTCTCGCTTTCTGTCTCTATGTCTTTCTCTGTCTGTCTGGTGAGCGCACGCGCCCTACAGTGAAAATCTCTCCAAAAAAAAAAACCCAAAAAAAAACAAAAAAAGAAAGGAAGAAAGAGAGAGAGAGAGGAATAACTGTGAAGAATGGTTAATTAATATTTCAAAGTGGGGCAAATGACAAGTAGTAACAGGTCAAAATCAGTCCAACCCAAACCCAAAGCCTGCCAAAACACAATGCTACAGAACTTTTTCCTATCTACAGAACTTGCCCCCTCGCCCTTTTCTCACTATCTTCTAACTGCTCTAATTTCACTATAACCCATCAGTGGGTTTTGCCCACTGAGATTGAAAATATGCAAGTGAAGGATGATTTTGGTTATTTTTCTGATTACTGGAGAAAGTTTATGTTCCCTTTTCACTTAAAAGAAGAGTAATCAAAGTTGGAAGAAAAGAGGGAGAAACATGGAATCTGCCTAAAGTATGATTTTCTTGTTTTTTTTTTTTTCATCTATAAAGAAGGCAAAAGATGCTTAGAATTAATACATCAGCAAGTATTTTTTAAAGCATTAAGAAAAATCAAAGGGTAAAGTTACTGGAGGGCTGAACAATGGCACTGTGGTAAAATGCAGTGCTCTCTGAGGCTGACCCACAAGGAAGGGCTCCAGGCTTATATCTCGAGATCTCTCTGACCATATCAGGCATGTGCGTCTCTCCATTTCTCTCCCTCTCTCTCACACATACAGAAGAAACAATGTTTTTAAAGAGGGGAGGCTGTTGAAATAGAAGTATATTATTTAGTCATTTCTCAGGGGAAGAGGTCAAAAGATGCTCTAAAAATATCGACACCACCGTATCTGTGTGGGACAAACTGGCACCACCTGCCTTTTACTTGATGGAATAAGGAAATATGGTGCATTCTTACCAAAAAATGTAACTGCATCTAGTCATGAGGAAACAGAAAAATCCAAATGTTGGGATATTTTTACAAGATCAACTACCTGGATTTTCCATTAAAAAAAGAAAAATACCAGGAGATGAAAGAAATGAGCAAATGCAATCCATGATTCTTAACAAGATCAGAAACAAAAAGACTATACAGGACATTATATTGAGACAACTAGGGGATTTAACCATGGACTCCATATTAGATATAATATCAATGTTGACGTACTTGGCTTTGATAGTGGAAATGTGGCTGCGTGGTAGAATGTCATTTTCAAGAGAGAAATGCTGATAGGAGACCTGGGTTTGGTTCCTGGGCCAACCCAAACACTCCAGGCACAGGAACATGCACCTGAAATCCTAGCTAAGCGGGAGGCTAGGGCAGAAGGACTGCACACTGTGAGATCCTGTCAGAAATACCTCTCTCTGGCCCAGGTGCAGTGCTTCAGGCAGTAGAGGCACTGTGCTATGCAATTCTAGAACTATGTGGGAAGACTCTGGTTTCCCTTCCGGGTATGCCTCACCAGGTATACCGGTAAGCATACCCATCACTCTGGCTGGCTACAGAGTTGAGGGGAGGATCGAGGCATGAAGCCCCTCTTGATGGTGCCCTCACTACCATGAAAGAAGAAAATAAAAAAGCAACTGTTGCTCATTACCAATGGGGATATTTTTTAAAAAGCTCTCTCTCCTCCTCCCCCCACCTCTCTTTAAGGGGAAAAATAGAATACATGCTGAAATAGTTACAGATGAAGAATCAGGATGTTTTTAAGTTACTTTCAGATACTCCCTCCCAAAAATACGTATGTAGGTAGAGGCAGAAATAAAGTAGTTACAGCAAAACATTAACAACTGGTAAATCTAGTTGAAATGCTATTACTGTACTATTTCTTTCCACTTGTCTGCAGGCTTGAAATCTTAAATAAAAAGTTGAGAGAAGGGCCAGCCCTGTGGTCTGGTGGTAAAAAGAGCCAGATCCTAACTAGCTGACTCTGCGGTGTGAATCCTGGCCCCGGCAACTTGAAAACACACTGGGTGCATATGTGTGTATTACCTAAATCCCAACAGGACAGAAATAGAAGAGAAGGAATTGTGGTGTGCCCATGCCCCATAGGGCAATCTTCCCCTTTCTCTCTCCCTCTGGCGAAATGTACACATACCCCTTGACAAAAAATAATTTAAAAAAACATTGAGAGAAAAAAAATTACATATGCACTTTGTTGGAGTTAACAAGGCAAGCTACAAAACAAAAAACACAACAAAATTTGAGCCAGTCACGTGGTGCATTCCTGTGAGCCCACCTGCATGGGAAGCTGAGGGTCAGAACACTGGAGTCTAGGAGTTCTGGGCTTAGTGTGTTAGGCAGGTCAGCTGTCCACACCAAGACTGGATATAATATGGTGACTTCCTGAGAGGCAGGACCACCAAGTTGCCTAAAGATGGGTGATCTAGCCCAGGTAGGAAACAAAACAGGTCAAACTTCTGTGCTAATCAGTGGTGGGATTGCACCTAGTAACAGCCACTGCATCCCAGCCTGGGTAACAGTGAAAAGGTGGCACTGCAGTCACTACAAGACTCCATGATGCAGAGGCCACCTGGAAAAGTCCATATTTGCGTCCCAAGATCTCCTGGTACACACAGGGCACAGGCATGCATGTCTGTGATCCCAACTGGCTGGGGTGGAAAGCAACATGAAGAGCCTATCGGAAGTCTTGGTCTCAGGCCAGTCAGTGGCGAGGTGGTTAAAACAGCTGGATCCCATATGCCCAACGGTGCAGTTCAAGTCCTGACTTAAAAAACACACCTGGGGAACCAGTTAGCGTAATGGCTGTGTCACTGGACTCCCATGTAGTCGACCACAGTTTGCGTCCCGGACCTGGTGGCTTAAAACTCACGTTGGGTGTGTGTGCGTGCGTGCCCAAGATCCCGAGAGGAGAATGGAGGAGAAGGGATTGTGGCATGGCCATCTCCCCCGGGGGGGGATGTCTCGCTTTCTGTGTCTCTGTCTGTCTCTGTCTGGCGAGTGCACGCACCCTATAGCAAAAACCTCTAAAAAAATAAAACAAAAAACAACAAAAAAACACGCCTGGCATCCATGCCCCAGATCCTGAGAATGTTGGAGAAAGGAGACTGTGCCATAGCCATCCTTCCTGGGCAGTGCTTTCTCACATCTCTCCTGTGTCTGTATCTCCAGTAAGCACACATGCCCTATTTTATCGTTAAAAAAAATTCCTTCTGTAAATAACAAGTGATTAAAGATGCTTTTTAAGAAAAAGAAATAGTGAAGCCAGCAGGTGGTATGGTGGTTAAGGCACTGGACCCCCACATGGTTGATTGTGGTTTGAGTCTAGACTCAGCTGCTTGAAATTCAAACTGGGTGTATGTACGCCCAAAATCCCATGGCTGTCCTCCCCCCACCCCGAGGGGTGTTAATTTTTTGCCTTCTGTCTCCCTGTCTCTCCAGCAAGCACATGTACTCTATAGCAAAAATCTTTATTAAAAAAAAAAGTAAAGAAAAGAAAGAAAAAAGGGGCCTGACAGGTGGTGCAGTGGTTAAAGGCGTTGGACTCCCACATGGCCGACTGCTATTTGGGTCCTAGACCTGGAAGCTTACTTTCTCACTTTCCCTCTCTTTCTCTTACTCTGTCCCTCTCTGGTCAAATTTAAATAAAATAAATAAAGTTAAATAAAATCATTTTTAAAAAAGGAAGAAAAAATATCAAATGTTTTGAAAGAATACAGAAAACACTGAAATAACATCAATCCATTTAAAGAAAAAGACAAGCAAACACATCCCTGAGTTCGTGCTTAATGTCTGAGTACTGAATTAGTCTCGGTAAGAAATACAAAGTTACTGGTTACAAAATATTAACAGTCAGGATCAACTCTTCACTTAAGATTGGTTTCAATATAAATATAGTTTCGTTTAAGATAAATATTTGACCTTCCATTATGTCAACTACTGAGGTTTTCATGAGCCATATTATGTTGGGATGCCCTTGGGATGCTACTGAGCTGTAAGGCGATTTACTCCTATCTCAGCTAAATTCCTGGCCCTTAGAATTCTCATGTCTGTCTACACTAGCAGTCTCTCTCCTCCCTGTCATCTATCAGTCTGTCTGGCTTCTGGATACTTGCCTCGCCGATCTGCTCCATGTTGTACAATCTGTTCAGGAGTGAGAACCAGATAACCCAGTTTGCTAGGATCCTATAAAATTTATTACTGAGTAAAACAACTGCAGGCTTGACAACTCAGGGTCTCTTTTTCCCCTCCAAAGGAAAGTCAGAAGTTGAAGTTTGTCTTCAAACTTAGTTCAGTGACTAAGGCTAAATTACAAATAGTAATCAGCAGTATATGTTCACGAGTGCTAAATCTAAAAAGATGAAGCTACTCATAAAGGAGAGTAACTACAATGACAGCACTGGAGTTTTTCCTTGAAAGAACTCTTAATATTAATATCCTCTTTAATCTTGTATCTTGCACAGCATGCTATCATGTTGTTATGAATTTTATCCAATATTCTTCTTACCAAGAGTATCTTTAATAAGGATCTCAAGCTTCTGCCCCATGTTGGGTCCTCTCTCCTCTCTCGGATTCTGTACCCGGTTTACAATCTCTTGCTTGATGGAGTTGATTACAAACAATAAATTATCTGTAAGACAGAACAAAATACGTGGAATACATCACTAATGTGGAAGAATTTTATCTTATTATGTAATAACATAGTCATTTTAAATCTGGAAATTGTAAGAAAACGTTAAGAAGGAGGTCAGAGGGTGGCACAGTGGTAAAGTGCAATGCTCTGTGAAGGCATCCCACAGGGTAAGGTTCCCGGTTTAAGGCTAGAGACCTCCTGAAGATGCTGTACTTTTACCCATGATCCAGTACTGGCAAAAAAGCTGGCGGTGGACTGTGGCATCAAGACCCTACTGGGGGTGCTGTCTCTT